CTCACCTCAGCCTCCCAAAGTGCTGGGATTACAGGCTGAGCCACCGAGCCCGGCTGTTGTTTGTTTTTGAGTCAGGGTCTCAGTCTATCGCCCAGGCTATAGTGCTGTGGCATGATCATAGCTCACAGCAGCCTCGACCTCCTGGGCACAGGCAGTCTTTTCACCTCATCTGGGACTACAGGCTTGCGCCATCAAGCCTGGCTGGTTGTTATTTTTTTAAAAATTGTAGAAATGAGATCTAACTATGTTGCCCAGGCTGGTCTCAAATTCCTGGGCCCCGGCTTTCCTCCCCCCTCAGCCTCCCAAAGTGCTGGGATTACAGGCATGAGCCATCAGGCCCAGTTGTATGTTTGTATATTTTTTAAAAGCCAAACTCTGCAAAAGTAAAAAATGTTTTCTGAGGGTATTCATTAAAATGGTAAGCTATAAGTCACTCATTAACCATTAAAAGTGAAGATCAAATTTCTTCCTAAATTACCTGCCAAAATATTCTGTGCATAAAAAAACGTAAAACTGTGAATGATACCACTCTTTTAAAAAAATAATGCACATATTCTGTAAAACTTGCTTGTATTTTTACCAAAAGACAGAACTTGGGGAAGAGAGGATGAGATTTAACTTCTTAAATGCAACTGGGTAAAAGAATTGTTTGAATACACTAGCAAGCACTACAGTGAATTCTCTTTAATTAACACCTTAGTACCTTCTTAACTTTTATGTTTTTTAAAATTCAGATGTTACCTATTTTTTGAAGGCATTATACCATCTTATTGATGCATTTTGCATATTTATTTTTAGAAGGCTAAGCTCAATCAGACTAAATACTTCTCGTAGAAATATTCTCACTATAGTCCTGTGCTGTATAACAACATATCAGTCAACAGTGGTGGTCCTATAAGATTATAATGTTGTATTTTGACTGTCCCTTTTCTATGTTTAGAAATGTTTGGTATTCAAATTCTTACCACTGTGTTACAGTCACCTATAGTACTCAGTATAGTAACATCCTGTACAGGTTTGTAGAGGAGGAGCAATAGGGTGACCCTATAGCCTAGCTGTGTAGAAGGTTATGTGCTTGCTAAGTTTGTCTAAGTCCACTCTGTGATGTTCACACAGCAATGCAGTAATCCAAGGATGTATTTCTCAGGAAGTATCTCCTGTTGTTAAGCAACGCACTACTGTATATTGAGAGTCATTTCTCCCTTAGCATAAAATAGTACCTAGATGTCCAACAGAAGCAGATTTACCTAGTTCCCAGGGATTTGCTTTGCTTGCTTCAAAAGCTGGCTTAAAACTATAAAAACCAAAACAGAACCATGATAAAATGGTCTTTCTCCTTGTTAATGTGTATTTCCACAGAGAGAAAACGTGTAGTCCATGCTCTTTGGGCCAGGGCTGTTTGTTAACCAATTGATTCTTCTCTTTAGGACCCCCCTGGGTCGGGCAAGAGCTTGGCTTCGTTTAGCCCTAATGCAAAAAAAAATGGCCGATTACCTGCGTTGCTTAATTATTCAGAGAGATCTTTTGAGGTTAGTACTTTTTTTTTTTTTTTTTGAGTCGGAGTCTCACTCTGTCGCCCAGGCTGGAGTGCAGTGACACACTCCTGGCCACTGCAGCTGAGGTTAGTACTATTAAAGCATGTTCATTTTTATTTTTATTTCATTTAAATCCTGTCTTCCAAAAAGGATTCATGATGTGATATAAAAGGATATATAAAATATAAGATGGTAAAAAATAAAAGGAAGAGCAAAATGAGAGAAAAAACATGGTGGGCGCATAACGTGGATCAGTAACTATTAACCTAAAATATGAGAACCATAAGCTTGTTATCAGTCAGTAAGAGAAAATATATATATATATCATATATATATCAAAATATATATGTATATATATATATTTTTTGAGTAGGAGGTCAGACTCACTCCAGTGCCCAGGCTGGAGTGCAGTGGCATGCTCACGGCTATCCCAGCATCGACCTCCTGTGCTCAAGTGATCCCTCTGTCTCAGCCTTCCAAGTAGCCGGAACTACAGGTGCGCACCACCACGCCTGGCTAATTTTTTGATACATTGTAGAGACAAAGTCTTACCAAGTTGCCCAGGCTGGTCCCAAGCTCCTGGGCTTAGGCAATCCTCTCCCCTCAGCCTCCCAAAGTGCCGGAATTCCAGATGTGAGTTATTGCACCTGACTCTCTTTTAATTTTTCTACATATTTAAATCTCAAAAATTTAAGAAGTTATTCATATAAAGAAAGGCTAATTTGAAGGTATCTGGGATGGCTTCCATGTGTGTAAAGTAGAAGATTAGGAAGAGAATTTGATTTGAAAATTTAGTGTTTGAAATAAATTCGTCATTTAAGGTTTTTTTCTTTTAATTTTCATAGTGAGTTCTATGAGTATCATGCACTAATGATGGAAGAAGAAGGAGCAGTAATTGTTGGGCTGCTGGTTGGCCTGAATGTGATAGATGCTAATCTGTGTGTGAAGGGAGAGGATTTAGACTCACAAGTAAGTGAAAATGATTAGTACCAGATGCAGTGTTTTCAGTTTGATCCTTGATCCAGGTGTCACTTGAAGTTGTAAACAGTACTGTTAAACACTAAAGAAAAATTAAGAATGAAATTTAGTAAAGATACTTCTGATAAAGTATTATTTCTCCCCTTTAAATAAAAATTACCTTTATTTACTTTAGGTTGGAGTGATTGATTTTTCTATGTATTTAAAGAATGAAGAAGATATTGGAAATAAAGAAAGGTATGCTTTTCATAAATTATTTCACATGTTATGTTTTTTGATATAGTTCTTTACAAATCAGTATAAGATTCATCTATTTTCAATGTGGTTTTGTTTTCTTCCTTTTTTTTTTTTTGCCCTGTAGGTTCTGTTTGTTTTATTTTTACTTCCATTACAGGCTTTACAAAGCAAACTAGGGAAAACCACTAAGAAGAAGGAGGCTTCAGTATGAAGTAGGACTTTTGGTCATGCCTGTAGTTACTGAGACTCATTTTAATAGCTATATTTTGTGATAAAAGTGTTGAAACTTATTCACAAAATTGCAAATTCTGGTTTATTTCAAAACCTAATTGTGTTTAAATTTAAAATATACTAACAGTATTGTTAAGTTTATTATCAGCAAGCAATTTATTCAACAAAGGTTATAGTTTCTTAGTACACAGCTTACTGTTTTGTGATTACAAAGATTCCTAAAGTTTATTTTTAAAGGCAAAATATGTTATGGTTTTATAACATTACAAAGATTCCTAAAGTTTATTTTTAAAGGCAAGATATGTTACAGTTTTATAACAATTTTAGATTTTGTTTGCACTTAAATACCTTTCCAATAAACACAAAGCTACTTTTTCGCCCCTCTAGGAATGTTCAAATTGCTGCCATATTAGATCAAAAGAATTATGTTGAAGAATTAAATAGACAACTTAAGTAAGTATTATGAATACTTATCACAGTTATGAATATTGTGTTAGGTTTTTGCTATTTCTTTTCCCTTTTCAGTTCAGTTTAACCCTATTCCTTTCTTCTAAGCATCTTTGAGAAGAGCTTCAGGAGATAGATATTGGAAGTTAAGAATAGAGAGAATTTGTGCTTAAATAGCTTAGTTGGCAGAGTGTTAGACTGAAGAATACAGAGAATTAGTGGAGATAATTCATTTTCAGCAGAAAATGAGAGTCAGATTTTTAAATAGAATCTTCATAGAATTTAAATAGGATTTTAAATGTATCATTGTACCCTTGAGAAAAAAGCTGGAAGTTTGTATCATTTTGCTGGTTCAAAAATTCATTTTTCCTACTTCAAAGGGCTTCATGTGTAAATGTGGCAGTCATCTTCTATGGTGGAAGTGTTCTCCTTCTTACATTGTCAACTGCTCGTTGAAGCCATCAGTGAATACTCTAGCTAAGAAGAATTTCTCAGATCTGTATGTAAAATAGTATAGTAGAGTTCTGTCTAATATAAAGATAATGTGAGGCACATAGTAATTTAAAACTTTGGGTAACCATGTTAAAAAAGTTAAAAAAAACTTTGAGAATATTCAACCCAACACACTTGAAATATTATTCCAACATCTAATATATATAAAAAATTATTATTAACTAGATATGGTGGTATGTGCCTGTAGTCTTAGCTACTTGGGAGGCTGAGGCAAGAGGATATTTGAGACCAGCCTGGGCAGTATAATGAGACCCTAGCTCCTAAAAAAAAAAATATTATTAATAAACTGTTTAACTTTTTCTTTTTTCTTTTTCTTTTTTTGGTACTATCATCAAAATCCAATGTGTATTTTACCCTTACAGCACATTTTAATTTGGACTCCCCACATTTAAGAGTTTAGTTAGCCACATGTGGTTCATACCTACAATACTAGATAGCATAGGTATAATAATGTTGGCTACATAATAAGAAATCGACTGTTCTCATTAATTAAATTTAATAATTAGTAAAAGTGATTGTTTCTGTGTAATAGGATTATGAATACCTTTTATTCTTTATACTTTTGTTTTCTGAGTTTCACATACTTAACAAGTATTACAATTAGAAAATACAACTAAACATTTTTCCATTTTAGAAAAAACAACTAATAAGCTATGTCTCTCACTTTTCTCCTGAAGTTGTAGAAATAGGACACACCTTTTTTTTTTTTTTTTTTAGTTAGCTTATCACTCTGTTGCACAGGCTAGAGTGCAGTGGCATGATCACGGCTCACAACAGCCTCCACCTCCTGGGCTTAGGTAATCCTTCTACCTCAGCCTCCTGAGTAGCTGGATTACGAATTAGCCAGGCCCATGCCACCCCACCTGATTAATTTTTTAATTTTTATAGAGACGAGGTCTTGCTATGTTGCCTAGGCTGATTTCCAATTCAGGCAGTCCTCTCGCCTCCCAAAGGCTGAGATAACAGGAGTGAGCCACCACACACAGCTTTATTTTTTAAATTTTTAAATTTTTATTTTTTGAATTGGAGTCTCACTCTGTCGCCCAGACTGGAGTGCAGTGGCATGTTCCCGGCCACCGCAGCCTCAACCTGCTGGGCTCTGGTGATCCTTCTGCCTCAGCCTTCCAAGTAACTGAAACTACAGGCACGTGCTACCACGCCCGGCTAATTTTTTGATTTATTGTAGAGATCAAGTCTTGCCAAGTTGCCCAGGCAGGTCTTGAACCCACGGGCTCAGGCAATCCACTCACCTCAGCCTCCCAGAGCGTGGGATTACAGGCTGAGCCACCGAGCCAGGCTTACATTTCTAAATGTAACCTTGTGTTGCCCAGACTGGAGTACAGTGACATGATCACAGTTCACCACAGCCTCAATTTCCTGGACTTGAGTGGTCCTTCAACTTCAGTCTCTCAAGTAGCTGGGAGTACAGGCATGTGTCATCATACACGGCTAATTTCCTGACTTTTTGTAGAGATGAAGTCTCATTATGTTGCCTAGGCTGGTCTCAAACTCCTACCATGAAGCAGTCCTCCCGTGTTGGCCTCCCAAAGTGCTAGAATTACAGGCATGAGCCATCATGCTCGGCCTTAAATAATTTTTTTAATGTAATCATTTTTCCAGGCGCGGTAGCTCAAGCCTGTAATCCCAGTCCTTTGGGAGGCAGAGGTTAGAGGACTGCCTGAGTCCAGGAGGTTCGGGACCAGCCTTTTCTATATCTGTTTTCTATACTTTTGAAATACTTTAAATGTACAATATCTACTTTTTATTAGAAAAAGCAAGGAAACGTTTTTAAAAATAAGGTATACAAAAGTAAGGAACTAGAATTGCTGTAACTAATTAACATAATTTAAAAGACTGAGCCAGTCATGCCTGTAATCCCTGTACTCAAGAAGCCAAGGTGAGAGAATTGCTTGTTGTTTCTGTCAGTAATTTTGCTGTAATATATTATATACCGCATATTACATTTTATTAGAGAAAGTTTGGGATCATAGTATCAAGCAGATATTGGACAACAGACTTAGCAAAATGTACAGTAATGTCCAGTCGTGGTTTATTTAAACAAAAACACAAAAAACAAATGTGTTCATGTAGAATAACCAAACTTATGGATTATTTCCTTAAAAGACAAGATGTTTAGCTGCCACATACCTGATGCTGGGTACCTCATATTTATACTTCTCAAACCATAGGTAACTTTGAAAGTTTCTAATTATGGTGAAAATGGAGAATGGATCTTGAACTGAAGATCACTGTTTGTATGCTTTTTCAAGCCACATAAGTGGACATTTAAAGTTTAAAATATAATTTTAACAGTATTTAGTAATCTTTATGTGGCATTTTCATATGCGAATTTCATCAGTAAGAAGAACCCTAAGAAGACAGTAAAAAAGAGTGAATAGCACTAAGTGGAATTTTAATGTGAATATTGATTATTTTTCTGCACCTTTATTGCTCTCCTAGCCAAATCAAGTTATTCAGTTAATGAAATTTCCCACACTCAGGAATTTGGACAGGCAGCTGGTGTATATCAGTCTGCATGATGAATCTAAGATAGCATGCTTTTTCTTGCCTCAAGTTTGTGTGATTTTGAATGAGTTTTTTCTTTACTAATTTCAGCAGCACAGTCAGCAGCCTTCATTCAAGAGTTGATTCATTAGAAAAGTCAAATACTAAGCTGATTGAAGAGGTATGGTCACCCTGTAATGGATACAGTTATTTCATGGACCTCGTATTTGTGATCCTTTTTCATTTTAAGCATGAATGCATTATGCATACACACACACAGTCATCATTATAAACTGTGATTCTCATTTTAAAATCTGGATGGCCTATATTTACCTAATGGTGTCACCCATGGTTAGAAATTGTTGTTAAAATGATACTGTCCCTCTTGTTGCCCTAGTCAGATGCTTCCTTCACAAGCATCACTGCATGATCACGTCCATTCTTTCTCTACCCTCCCATGTACTTATCCCATGTTCTCTGACTTCTTGCAATGTGAAGGTGGCTATCTGGTGCTTTTAGACCTCATTTGAAGAAGAACCAAAAATGTATCTCCGCTCTCCTTTAAAACTTTTGTAGAGTTAGATATTTTTATAAGAAAATCTATTAAACCACAGAATTATTGCGTTCTATTTTCAGAATTACCTAGGCTTCTATTGTTAGTGATATGAACCCTATTTTCCATGTTAATAAAATTTCTTACTTCTTTTAAAGTTAGCCTAATTTTTCCAAACTAGGGAGCACATGATGATTTTCATGACTGCAGTTAAGAATGCATCTTTATTCTGATGGTTGGGCTTCTGATTGGGACCATTATAGAGCTTCTTATTAGTTTGTGTCTCTTCTTGACTTTAGGATCATTGTGAAGGTCAAGTTTATCAGAGATTTGTTAGTTGCAAACCATCTTAGGGAATGCTGCTGATTTTGCTTTCCTAGGGTTCCCCTTTTCATTCTGGGCCTCAGAGCCAAGCTACTTAGTCATTCATATTTAACTCCGATGGTGAGAGCTGTTTTAAGTTTGTTATAGTCACTTATATTCCTATTATGTGTCTAGATTTCATAGGGTGTCCTACTCAGTTACCGTGAATGTTTGTATTATATTTTCAATGGTAACACAACCTTTTTTTCCTTTTTACATGTTTTTATCTTTATACAAGTCTTTACAGTCTTTGTTGTTTAATGCATAATTTTTTATGTGTTTACTCAGACACTTTTTATTCAGGACATATTGTAAATCAGGCAGTAAACATAATATGTTTATTATAAGCATAACAAATAAGCACAATATGTTTAGTAAAGAAAATAGTAGGCCAGGGCTTGGTGGCTCAGCCTATAATCCCAGCACTTTGGGAGGACGAGACAAGTGGATTGCCTGAGCCCACAGGTTTGAGACCAGCCCAGGCAACTTGGTGAGCCCTTGTCTCTACAATAAATCAAAAAATTAGCTGGGCGTGGTAGCTCATGCCTGTAGTTCCGGCTACTTGGAAGGCTACAGCAGAAGGATTGCCAGAGCCCAGCAGGTCGATGGTGGGGTGGTTGTGAATGTGCCACTGTACTCCAGCCTGGGCAATGGAGTGAGACTCAGACTCAAAAAAGAAAAAGAAGAAAATAGTAGAAATATTACTAGTGGAAATAAGAGTATGAAGGTTTCTGTGGATGTGAGAGACATTTTACTAGTTTTAAGATTGTATTTTCTTTTTATTCTTTGTTTTATTAAGATTGTATTTTCTATTGCTTATAGCCATGAATGTAACCTGTAAAGCAGGTATAAAGATGTTTACAATCTCTTTTCTTCCCCGTTATATTATTTTTAGTTAGCAATAGCAAAGAATAATATCATTAAACTTCAAGAAGAAAATCATCAATTACGAAGTGAAAATAAATTGATTTTAATGAAAACACAGCAGCATCTAGAGGTAAGTATAGACTGCTTTCAAACAGACTGTCTTGAGTCAGAAATTACCACTTTTTTGGGACTTTTTGCATAAAGTCGGTATTTCTGTACTGTGTATAGTGATTATATAATAAAAAGTTTATATTTTCTTCCTAGGTTACCAAGGTAGATGTGGAAACTGAGCTTCAAACATATAAGCATTCTCGGCAGGGGCTAGATGAAATGTACAATGAAGCCAGAAGGCAACTTCGAGATGAATCTCAGTTACGACAGGTAGATTATATTAACCCTTTGCACTCAGAGACATCTCGAAGATCATCTATCAGCAACTCAATCACACTTTTTTACCAAATACTGAAAAACAAGTCACTTCATATTTAATAGTATAGCATTGGAACCAATTATTTTTTCCAATGATATTTTGCTTATAATGGAATGTTGGACATTGAGGAACATATTTATGACAAAAAAAATCAAAATTTTGTATCTTATATTTTTCTAATGTGTGGTAACATGTGAAATAGTTACCAACATGCATTGCAGGTTCATTGATACATGTTGTGCAATAGCAATTTGTTTGACATCTTCCACCTCAAGTTTCTCTATTCGAGCAGACAATGCAATCTCCTTTTCTTCTTCCCACATTAATAATATGTAAGTTATTTTCCAGTCTGTTGTTCAAAAATCATGTGGAAGGGCATACTTGTGATTCCTGAAAACCATCTCCACTGGTCAATCCAGAAGCTTGGCAAATTTCAAATGGGACATAGGTTTTTCATTGTTTTCTTTTTTTTTTTTGATGCTTGGTACAGTATATAAAAGTTAATAATGCATATTTCTAGCCCCCAGAAGAATAATTTCCTCCATCATTTTTAAGACTTTTGCAAAAAACAATGTATAGAAGCATATTGATCTGCACGATCCACACTGCTCATATTTGCAGTATAATTTAGGATCATTTCAGGCTCTTTGGCTGATATAACATTTCCGCCATGTCCTTGTGGTAGATTTCTTTCCTACTTGATTCCAAGTGCTGAGAATTATAATGATCCTTTTGTCCTTCCATGCAAGAAGTGTAAGATTATTTTTCCTATACACTACTATTTTTTTTGTTGTTGAAAGCTTCAGTTTTTTTATTTGTGCTGGCATTCTCTTTCAGTTGACTTTGTGCCCTTAAGATGACATTTCACCTTTAGGAGCTCTTCTGCTAAGACAATATACTAGTGTAATATCTGTCAGTAAACATTTGGTATCTTGCTGCATTGGGAACTTTCCAATAACCTTTTTTTAAAAATCAGAGTCTCACTCTGTCACCCAGCCTGGGGTGCGGTGGCATGCTCATGGTCACTGTAGCCTTGACCTGTTGGGCTCAGGTGAATCTTCTGCCTCAGACTTCCAGGTAGCTGGAACAACAGGCACACGCCACCACGTGATTTATTGTAGAGATGAGGTCTCGCCAAGTTGCCCAGGCTGGTCTCAAACCCATGGACTCTGGCAATCCTCTCACCTCGGCTTCCCAGAGTGCTGGGATTATAGGCGTGAGCCACTGTGCCTGGCCTTCCAATAACTTTTTATATAAATGTAATGGAATTCTGGTGCTTACTGGAAGACCAAGTTGAATGATGTTTTCAGATATAACATCTGAAAAAGTAGGAAGTTTTGAAAAAAAGTATGCTGATTTTGAATTAGGTAGCTCATAAATGCGTAAAATTGTTGGTTCTCTCATATTACTTGCTATTTGTGGTCCTATTGTTTGAGGATGTACAACAAAATTTATTCTTGCAGGAAGATTGTCTTTTTCTGTAACATCTTTCCATTCTTCACTTGAGGATATGTTGTCTTCTGTTTTTTTAAAACTACCAACACTTATCACTATCACCTTCTATTGCATTCACCCGTTTTCTTCTTAGTGGGATGATACCACTATTGCTACTATCATTTTCTTTCACATCAATGTTTTTTTTTTTTTACTTATCTGTTTAAAAATGTAAATCTGACTCATCTTTGCTACTGCTTATAACTCTCATTTCTGTCATTTTGTCTTGCCGTTGTTCTACAGACTAAATAAATTGATAAAAGTTTCTAATTGTAAATTACAAAATCACAAAATGAAATATATCAAAAGATATTACTTTTCCAATTTTTCCTTTTCTGACTTAGTGTACATAAATATATTCAATCTGTGCCGCTTGATACTTCAATATGATCTGCCTTCAACTTAGGAAGTCTTCCTTTTAAGGCTTCAATAACTTGCCTATCTGTCTTTTCAGGTTATGCCATATGATATAAAGGGAATACCCACAGATGTCTTTCTTATAAGACGCTCTTTATCACTACTTTCAGTTACAAAGAAGTTTCTGCATCACTGTGAAAACACTTCACACATTCTCTTTTGAAGTAATGCCAGCTGATTTTTTTTATATATCTCAGCATATATTTCATCTCTTTATTTGCTTTTTCATGCAGTTTGAATGGAAAGCTTCAAGGAAACATATGTTTTTGAAAAATTTATGCTGGCATATGTTTATCCAAGATAATCACCAGCAATCTCTCTCTGTCCCCGGTGGAGGCAGGGAGACATTTGAGTTGTTTGCTAGATATGCAATATCCCCTCAGAGGGGATATCCCAGTACAAAGGGTTACAGTTATATTAACAAAATCCTGATAATTGTTTATCTTTCAGCAGGCGCCATATCAAATCTCTGTGTTATCTTGTTTGGTGTGAGATAGCAAGCTCACCCCTTAATCCTCTTAAACTCTTTGTTTTTTTCTTATAAGATAGTTCTTACTCTGTCACCCAGACTGGAATACAGTGGCATACTTCCAGCTTACCACAGCCTCAGCATTCTGGGCTCAGGTGATTCTTCCATCTCAGCCTCCTGAGTAGCCTGGACTATAGGCATGCGCCACCACGCCCGGCTCATTTTTTTATTTTTTTGTAGAGATGAGGTCACACCAAGTTACCCAAGATGGTCCCGGACCCCTGGGTCCAGGCAGTCCTCCTGCCTCAGCCTCCCAAAGTGCTGGGGTTATAGGCGTGAGCTACTATAACCAGTCTCAAATTCTTTAAAGCTTCTTCTGTGTCAGTGTTTTTTATTTTTTTGAGTTGGAGTCTCACTCTGTTGCCCAGGGTGGAGTGCAGTGGCATGCTGCTCACAGCCACCACAGCCTCAACCTGCTGGACTCAGGCGATCCTTCCACCTCAGCCTTCCAAGTAGCTGGAACTACAGGCATGTGCCACCATGTCCATCAATTTTTTTATTTAAACTGTGAGTTACAGTCAATGGTTGTGAAATGAATGGGTTGTACCAGTATTATGAAAAATGAAATCAAAGGAATAGAAGGATACATTTAAATGTTAGTAAAGTCATGCAGGTACTGTTACAATATAGCTGAAGTGTTTTTATTGTAGTTTTCTCTGCTTAAAGCACTTGATATATAACTATCTCTGTCTGACCGGGCATGGTGGCTCAGCCTGTAATCCCAGCACTTTGGGAGGCAAGAGGATTGCCTGAGCCTGGCAGTTCGAGACCAGCCTGGGCAACTTGGTGAGACCTTGTCTCTACAATAAAACACAAAAAACTATCCAGATATGGTGGTGTGTGTCTGTAGTTCCAGCTACTTGGAAGGCTAAGGTGGAAGGATCGCTAGCCTGGGTGACAGAGTGAGACTCCAACTCAAAAAAAAACCAAAACTGTCTCTGTCTAACTCCATTTCACAGTAAAACAGTGATGCTTGGTTTCAAACATTATAAAAAAGGAAGAAGGATACCCACATAATGAACATTTGTATACTTATCCCTGAATTGTACCCCACATCTTTAAAATACAAAATTGAAAAATTAAAAAAATATTAAAAAGAAACAAGCTAGTAAAGTTATGTTAAAATTAACTTATTTTCTTGACCTTTGAAATTGTGAACTGTAACACCAACAGAAAAATATGAATGCATGTTTTAATGAATTATTACACAAATACCTGTATAACCATCACCCAGGTTAAACCTTTCTGTCACCTTTGCTGTTTGTCTTTAATGTTAAAAAAACTTCTAGGCCAGATCCAGTGGCTCAAACCTGTAATTCCTGTGCTTTGGGAGACTGATGTTAGAGGATTGCCTGACTCAGGGGTTTGAGACCAACCTGGGCAACCTGGTGAGACCTTGTCTCTACAATAAGTGAAAAAATCAGCGGGTCGTGGTAGTGCTTGCCTGTAGTTCCAGCTACTTGGAAGACTGAGGTGGAAGGATTGCCTGAGCCTGGCAGGTTGAAGCTGCAGTGGCTGTGAGCATGCCACTGCACTCCAGCCTGGGCAACAGAGTGAGACTCCAACTCACAAAAAACAGACAAACAAAAAGCCCTTCTTAAAATAAATAAATAGGTAGGTAGGTAGATAGAAACTTCTTAATTTTTCTGATTTAAAAAAAACTTTTTTTTGGTTGCAACAAGATCTCACTGTGTTGTTCAGGCTGGTCTCAAACTCCTGACCTCAAGTGATCCTCCTATCTTGGCTTCTGAAAGTACTGGGATTACAGGCATGAACCACCACACCCGGGTAAAACTTTTTTAGAAAAAAATTTTTAAATGTTTGTTTTGTTATCTTTGTCCTTTATTTGTACAGATTGCTTCATTTTCTTTTGTTTAAGGAAAATTAATGCTGAATTTATGAGGCATAAAAATATTGAATCAGCCAGGCTCAGTGGCTCAGCCTTTAATCCCATGCCTTGGGAGGCTGAGGTGAGTGGATTGCCTGAGCCTGTGGGTTCAAGACCCACCTGGTCAACTTGGCGAGACCTCATCTCTACAATAAATAAAAAAATATTAGCCGGGCGTGGTAGCGCGTGCCTGTAGTTCCAGCTACTTGGAAGGCTGAGGCGGAAGGATCGCCCCAGCCTAGCAGGTTGAGGTTGCGGTGGCCGGGAGCGGCCACTGCACTCCAGTCTGGGCAACAGAGTGAGACTCCAACTCAAAAAAAAAAAAAAAAAATTCAATCTTTGAACCAGTAGAATAGTGATGATTAACAGAATATAGAAAATGCTTTCATTTTAGCAAAAACTGCATTTGAAAATGTTTACAATATATGTTGCTCTCGGACTTTGTAGATTCCCTTTAGTAGACTTAAAAAGTGTAGTGTACATATTTTTCACTAAATTGACACCAAAAAAAAAAAAAAAGTGGGCCGTGCGTAGTAGCTCATGCCTATAATCCTAGCACTTTGGGAGGCCAAGGCAGTAGGATTGCTTGAGCCCAGAAGTTCAAGACCAGCCTAGGCAACATAGTGAGACCTCATGTCTTCAAAAAAATAAAAAAATTAGCCAGTCATGGTGGCATGCATCTGTAGTCCCAGCTACTTGGGAAGCTGAGGCCGGAAGATTGCCTTAGCTCAGGAGGTCAAGGCTGTGGTGAGCCATTATCATGCCACTGCACTTCAGCTTGGGTGACAGAGTAGAACCCAACTCAAAAAAAAAAAAAAAAGAAGAAAAGAAGTGTCATTTACATATAGAATGGAAAATCTTTCTTGATCTTATTAACTGTACTGTCTGATTTTGATGATCTGAAATTGCATGTGAATTGAGGATATGTTGAAATTGCAGGATGTGGAGAATGAGCTAACAGTACAAGTTAGTATGAAACATGAGATTGAACTTGCCATGAAGTTGTTGGAGAAAGATATCCATGAGAAACAGGATACTCTGATAGGCCTTCGACAACAACTAGAGGAAGTTAAAACAATTAACATAGAGATGTATCAAAAGTTGCAGGTAAGGAATGTTCTTAAATTCTTACAATTTAATTTTATATAAATTAAAAAGGAATATTTGTAGGAATTGTTTGGTTTATAAATCCATTTTCACTGCCATATTGGTTGTAAAAACCAGGGTTCTTTTTTTCTAAATAGAAACTCAAGAAATGTAATGGAAAAGGTAACAAAGAACAAATGAAACAAATCACCTGTGTAAACTTCTTTCTTATTTTTTATTTCATTTTTTAAAAATGGGACAGAATCTGGCTCTGTCGTCCAGGCAGGACTGCAGTGGCACAATCATAGTCCGCTATAGCCTCAAACTACTGGGCTCAAAGGATTTTCTCATCTCAGCCTTCTCAGTAGCTGAGACTACAGGTGTGTACCATCATGCCCTGCTAATTTTTAAAAATTTTTAATAAAGACAGGGTCTCACCATGTTGTCCAGGCTGGTCTTGAACTCCTGTCCTCAATTGATTCTCCTGCCTCAGTCTCTCAAAGTGTTGGCCTTCTCAAAGCCCCTGGCCTGGATTTGTTTCTTTTCTTTTTTTAAAATTTTTTTTGAGTTGGAGTCTCACTCTGTCGCCCAGACTGGAGTGCAG